GTTTTTTTTATGGAAACTGGGAATTATCCCTCACCTCCAAAGTTCGGTCTTAGAACTTGGTTGCATTTTCTGCTTCACATGATCCAAATTATCCCAAACACATTCAGTGATGCTGATGTCTGTTCATTGTTCTGAGAACACCAGCAGCTGATTTTTAAAATGTTCTTCTTTTTTGCCCTTATGGGGCCCTTTTTTCCTTATGGCTTCTTGACAGCTACACGTCCTTTTAGACCCAAAGCACTCAGTTGTCTTCTCATAGTGGAAGGACGGACAGAAACACCTGTGGATTTTTCAGATCTGAAGCAAGAGTGGAGCTTGATTTTCTCCTCCTTTAAAAAATGAAAGCTTTCAGTGCTGTTTATCTGATGGGGACAGTGTTGGTGGTCTACCAGGTCTTGCACGGTTGTTAGGAGTTCCAATTTCTCTGTATCTTTTAATCAATTTTTAAGCTCCCGTTTTGAAAATCTTCTTTTTTCACTTAATTTCCGTTGACTTTCCCCTTTCTTATTTTAAATCTAAGAAATCAGAATCTCCCGATAAATGGAAAATGTATATGATTAAAATTGTATTTGATTAGAAATGAAATAAATGAAGGGTCCTCTCTGACTTTTGCACAGTGCTGTAGACTCTTAAACATTATAGTTCTTCAAGGGCTCATTGGTAAAGAAAAGAGCTCTATATAGAACCATGAACAATGGTTCTTTAGATTAATGAAGAATGTGCTGTAGATGGTTCTATATGAAACCTTTTTGAAAAGAGTTCTTCTAATGTTATGATGTCAAGCCTGTAACAAAAGAAGAACCCTTTTTGGTGCCATATAGAACCATATATAACGCACTCTCCATCAACCTGAAGAATGCTTTCACGATGCAAAGAACCCTTTAATCATGCAAAGGGTTCTTTGTGTGTTCATGGTTATATATAGAACCATTTTCTTTACTAAAGAACACTTAAAGAACAATCTTTGTAGTTATAAGCTTTTGTATATGTGACTGTAAGTGTTAAATCTGTGTGAGAGAAATGCTCCTGTTGGAGAATAAATACAGTACATATGTGTGAGTAAATGTAAGTGATAAATATGTGTGTCAGATGAAGTGCTGACTGTATGTGTGTGTGTGTATGTGTGTGTGTATGTGTGTGTGTGTAGAGGACTTCCTGTGGTTTCGAAGCTCCAGCTGTCTCAGACAGACACTTGAGGGCCCCGAGGGAAGGCTGGGGGGAGTGGGAGGAGCACCTGGAGGCTGCTTATCCCAGATGACCCTGTTCTCCCCCGGGACAAAGTCGAAGAAGAGATGATGCTTCACTTAGGCCTTTTTACATATACTGTCCTTGCTTTTTTTAAGAAAAAGAGTTTGAGGTAGTACATAAACATTATTAAAGTACCAAAACATACTGTTTACTCCATACATTACTCCATGCTATCCATGGAAGAAAACTAAGATGCAAAAACATCTGATTTTAAAGCCACAATGCTTGTGATGTCACACCCATGAACAAGTTTGCCTATGAATAACAGTGACGGCCTACCGTTGTTTAGGCCACCCACTCACATCGAAGTGAAAAAGAGTTTTCTTATTACACAGTCTATAGCAGAGTTATTAGAGTGGAAAAATGTGGGGAAAAATGATTAAACGTTGTGCTCTTCTTGACTGTCAGGAAGCACATGTAAAGATGTAGTTTACTAGAACTTTATGTTTTCCCAAGCCACAGAGGATTTCAGTCCTAACCTTACATTTATTCTACATTTCAGTCCAGACTGCTTTTTGGATGAGGCATAATGAGAAGCAGAAAATCAGAACAAAAGTAATTTAAACATACCAGTTTTGAAAACACAGGAGCCTTCTAAAGTATAAAGAGACAAGGTTTAATTTGTAAATGATGAGGTCTGGGAACACTGCGCAGTGATGAATCCAGCAAGTCGTTGAGATGGCTAAGGTCCCAGAATAAATTTTAAAAAAGTGTGAAAAAAGGTGCATTAGACATGCAGCTCAGTTTGATGGTTCCTGATAACACTGAATCGTGATAAAGAGGTTCCTTATCTTCAAATACCACATGGGTTTCCCAAAAGCTAAACAAACAGCTTCTAATGCGTGAGAGGTTAATGAATCGGTCGAAATCAGTGGTTTTGCTCAGCGCTGCTGAATTCTTTTGAGGGATGACAAGTCACAGCAATAGTGGCACATTTGCAAGTGATAAACAGCACCAGTGACCACTTCTGTCATGGTGCACGCCCAAACAGAAGTTGCAAATGAAAGTGTGTACAGGCCACTGTGTGAGGTGCCTGGTATTTTTAGTTAACATTTCACATTTTGCAGAGTTATAAATATATAAAGTTATATCCAAAGATTTGGGCACCCTTTATGTAACGTAATGTAACATGCTTTCATGCAATGATCTGTGAGATGTGCATCTACATATATATATATATATATATATATATATTTATATATATACGTATATATATATACACATACAGGGAGATTCACTTGAAAGAGGCCCCGAATATTCTGCTGTAACTCCTGTTAGGATGACCAAAAAAATACACTACATATCTTGACATATGTGTAATTGATTGCATTACATGCGATGCTGGAAGTGATCTCCATTTTCTGCCAGACACATGAAGGGGTACAGGGATATGCACCCAGAAGTTGCAAACAGAGGTTAAGCGTTGCGACAGCTGTCCAGTACCTACCTTATCGCTCTGACAAAGGTGTATCAAACTGTAGTGTAGCGCTTCTTTAATGGCATAATGAGAAACAAGCAAATCTTTGTGATCATGATGAACCCAGTTAAAATAAAGTGTCATTTGTTAAGAACTTACACTCAACACTTAACAATTCACACTCTAACTATACCTGTAGAGTAAATGTTGATAAAATTTAATGTCATTCATTACAGACTAATATAATCTAAAGCACTATACAGCTCTCAGGTGGAGTGACCTGTAAAGCTCAAAGGAGGAACTCTGAGATTACTACTAGAGAGCATGGTAAACAAGCATTATTAGTTATTATTAGCAGGTTTGGTCTTCCAGCACTGTTGTGTTTGAATGTTGTTGTCACTGTAGTCTCAAAAACTGAAACCGCAACTACTAAAAACTGTGGATCCATCACCTGGGTTATCATTACAGGGCATTGAAATTAAAGGTAATGCATATTAGGGCAGTGTCTTGTTGACTGTATGATTGATAATGTCTTAATAGGCCCAAATCATGTTAGACTGAGCTTTTCTTATTTTTTTTTAGAAATAAGTGAGTTTGCTTTAGTATGTAAACAATCTTAAAGTCCATATAGTACGTATATAAAAGCTAAGCTGCAAATATGTTTAATTTGAATGAATTGTTCTTGTATGTCATTTAAAAAAAAAAACAAAAAAAAAAACAATTAATTGTTTTTAGCCATCCACTCATGTTGAAGCTACAGGGAGTGTTTCATCCTGGACTACTCTTAGAATGAAGCAAAGTAACAAAACAGCCTGTTTCAGTCCAATGAATAAAAACAGGTTCAAAATGGTCATGTAAAAATGAACTATGACTCTTTTTGGCACATAAAACAACACAAATGTCCACACAAATGGGCCTCAAAAGCTTGCACTATTGCTTAATACAAACCCTTGACCACTGTGTCTGTATCCCTTATCACAATCTGAAACAGTCAGTCTCCTCTTACGCATGTCATAAACAGGCTTGATACATTTGTGCAATATTTCGTAGTACTGAAAGCCAGTGTTAAAAGCAAGGCTGAATAAAAATGCAGTGCCTTTAAAAGTGAACAAAACAGTGCATAATTAATCTAATTGTTAATTCACTGACCTGAATTTCAGAATCCTTAACCAACATATAAGTTAGCTTTAATAGCAGTGAGTTTGTGAAACTGTGCTGCCCCCTAGTGTTATCATTCAGCACTGCCGGTTGCCTTTTTGTCATTGGTGTGATAAAGCTTCCTTAAATAGGAACTCCACCGATTTTTCAAAAATTCTACATAATTAAAAGGTTAAGAAAATCGAGATCAATTTATTTTAATATATTCAGGGTGGAGGGATACATTAAGACATTTGTAAGGCAAAATAGTCTCCCCCGAAAAGTATTTTTTCAGTTTTATGACAATTTTACCAACATACAAGTTTCACTTCATAAAATTGCTATATTTGTGCTGTAGACATTGTGACCCCTGGTTCCTATCACCATCACTGTAAAGAAATCTGTAAGTCTCTCTACAATTAAGCATTTCACATAAAATCTCTCTGAATGTGTCTTTTTACATCTCAAGGACTGAAATAGTCACAACTTCTGAAAAATTAGTGTAATTTCCCTTTAAATATACAAACAGTGCCATTGCTAATGCACCAACATAAGAGCCTTACATGTAACCTTAAAATTAAAATGTCTAGTACTCAAATCAATGGATTAAAGTCGTTTTTATTCTGTGCTCTGTTGCAGTAAAGGAAACATCTGTCCATCAAACAACTCTATCTGTCACATGCTTGAAAATCCAACCAGTAATGCACTTTGATGTCTAACATATCATTAGGGTATAGTATAGTACAGTATAGTATAGTATAGTACAGTATAGTAGTGTATAGTATAGTACAGTATAGTAGTGTATAGTATATTACAGTATAGTACTGTATAGTGTAGTACAGTACAGTATGGTATAGTATAGCATGGTACAGTACAGTAGTGTATAGTACAGTATAGTACAGCATTGTATAGTATAGTACAGTATAGTATTGTATAGTACTGTATAGTAGAGTACAGTATAGTATTGTATAGTGTAGTACAGTACAGTATTGTATTGTATAGTATGGTGCAGTATAGTATTGTATAGTATATTGCAGCAGACTGCAGTATAGTTGGTGTACAGTGCAGCTCCAAATGAACGGGCTCGTTAATAAATGATCGTTTTGCTGCCTTTTATGCATTTATAGACCCTGTCCTGTTGAGCTCTAATGACAGGTCAAAGTTTAACATACAGGCTGACATTGTGTGCAGTGCCTCCCCGTCAAATAAAATACCCTCAACGCGGTGCATACCGGGAATGAAAAGAGTCGACACTGGACAGTGACTTGGCTCCTTTAAACTAAAGCATTGCAGTATGGGGTTAACGGTGGGCGAGAGGATCCAGAAGTGGCTCCTGCGAGCAGTTTCGGGATTCTTCTTCGCTCTCTTTCGGATGTTTTCGCGTCCACAACCTGTCAGAGCCACAAAAGTCCCTCCAGTCAGAAACCCACTGCTCACTGTTCCTGCAGTGCAGCTGGCCGAGAAAATCCGCAGGAGAGAGGTTTGGACACTTACTCACCTTCACTGCGCCGCGCTGAGGAGAGAACCGAGGCGAAATTAATGTCTGCATCGTACACTGTGATGTTAGTCACGCATTTTCTGGAATAATATAATAGAATTACAGAAGGGCGGTTGAACTGTGGGGAGTGTAGTTTTGTGCATGCGCAGACACGCCCCCAGTGCTGTACATACCTGTCTTAAAATGTACTATAATCACATTACTGCTAATATTACTGCAGATCTCATTTGTTTTCCCATATCTATTATTGTGGAGACAATGTGTCGTATTTTATACACAGAGATACAGGAAAGTATATATCTTGTATTTACAGCAATTGTCAGCTCCACTTATCATAAAGATGCACTTTTGCAGTTCTGTGATTACAGACTGTAGCCCGTCTGCTTCTGTGCATAATTTGTTACCTTGTTGATCAGTGGTGAGGACACCCACCAGACCACCACTGGGCAGGTATTATTTGGATGGTGGATTATTCTCATCACTGCAGTGCAAAACGGACACTGAAAATGCATATATTGAACAATGAGTGTAGATACAAGGTAGGTGTACCTAATAAAGTGACCCAGTGAAGTAAAGTAATAATAAAGTGAGTGTATCTATATTCAGTGGTGGTCCTGTGGGGGTCTAGATCATTGATGAACTACAATCTATAATTGTAGAACTACAAAGTGGAAAGTGATAAAAGTGACCAGTGAGTGTAGGCAAGTGAGTGCTTCAAATCAACAAAACGTGTACTTTGTTTAAAGTTTTGAATGCAACTGTATATAACATACATTATATATATATATATATATATATATATATATATATATATATATATATGTATATATATGCTGTTATCATATTATGTATATTTCTCTTTACATAAATTATGTAAATTAATAATTGAACAGTCAATGCCCTGTACACACTCACTAGTGCCATTCACTCCTTTTCGGCAGTAACACTCCACCTGGCTTCACTGAGGGGTTTAGCAGTGAGATTTAATCAGCTGGCACTAAATCCTTGTTCTTTTTTTGTTAAGGGCATAGTTATACGACTACTGGTCCATGTCCACAGCCTCTTTCTAGTCAAAGCTCAAAAAACACCAGCCATATGCTCAGACACTGATGTTCAGCTAGTAAAGCGTCAAGTTGATCATTATGATTAGACTTCATGCACACTAACAATTTAATTACAGTCAACTTCTGCACATTCTCTCCTGTTTGTCCTGAACACAGGTAACGAGTGTAGAGGTGGTGCAGGCTTATATTGACAGAATCCAGGAAGTGAACCCACTACTCAATGCAGTGGTTAAGGACAGGTGAGGACTCGCCTTTACAGGTAACGCTCCCCTCACACTGTTGCGTCTGTTTACACATGAACATGTGTAGGTGCAGCTCTTGCAGCAGCAGAGCTTTATTGGCTCAGTAAGACCCACATCAAGAGTATGACTGCACTGAAGTCAGAGGTAACACGTCAACAGTTAAACACGATTCCATGTTACTTTTGCACTAAGGCCTTATTTACATTTACTGAAAAGATGTTCTTTATATGGCACTCACAGTATTTGTTTCTTTTCTTTTGACCTTCAAATGACCAAGGGAGAGAATAGAACACAGAAGTGTGCTTAAGTGAAAATGGGTACTGTGTGAAAATATTACTCAAATAAAAGTGGCAGTATGGAGCCAAGAATATACTTAAGTGGAAGTAAAAGATTATCTACATTTAAACATAAATATATACAATTAAAAAGTAAATGACTTGATGGATAGTTTCTAAACTGTAGGACATGCTTTTCCAGTAAATGTAAAAAGCATCTACATTTAAATATAATCAATTTTATACAAGTAAAAAAATGGTTTAATAGATAAAACTAGGAATTCATGATTGAACTTAGATTTAAGTTGGCTATTGAATCCGATGTTTCTAAGCCGTTGCTATTGTATCATTGGTGGTTGTTGAGGTGTCGTTGGACTGTAGCTATGGTATTCAAGGTAGTTGCTAAGATGTAGCTAAGCTGTTTATATGGTATTCCCAGGGGTTGCTAAGATGTTGCAAGGTCATTGCTATAGTATCATTGGTGGTTGCTAAGGTGGTTCTAGGCCATACTGGTCAGTACTGGGCAGTTCTTGTCATTGCACAAAAGATGAATAAATATACTCATGACCTGTTTAATTGTATTCTCCTATACCTTTGATTGATTGCATTAATAAAAAATAAATAAAGATCCATAAGAAAGGAACACTTAAAAAAGATTAAAAATCATAAGATTTGTCACAAGTAACTTGAAGATCTAAATGAAAATGTAAGGAATAAAAGTATGTGTTTTTTCCTCTTGTAACTGTAATTATTATTAATAATAATAATAGTAATAGTAATAATAATAATAATACTACTACATGACATTTGTATAGCACTTTTCTAGGACCCAAAGACAGATTACAATTAGTGGCACAAGAAACAAATACATAACAACATACAAACAGATGACACAGCAGAACCAGAGATACATATTCACAGCACAGATGATGAAATAACATGAGCTATAATAGTTTAGGATAGGGGAAGATTGTATGCAAGACAGAAAAGATGTGTTTTAAGGTTGGATTTAAATAAGGATGGGAGAGAGTTCCAGAGGCGCGGGGCTACTCTGGAAAATGCACGATCACCAAAGCTATGGAGTTTAGAGGAGAAAATGGTAAGCAGATCAGTGGTAGAACAGAGAGTGCACGTAGGCCTGTAGGATTGGAGAAGATTCAGAGAGATAGGAAGGAGCAAGATTGTTGAGAGCTGTGTAGGTGAGAAGTATCTCAAACTGAATACGATCGTTTATGGGAAGCCAATGGAGGTTTTGGAAAACAGATGTAATGTGGTGATGTGACTGGGTGTAAGTGAGGAGACGAGCAGCAGAGTTTTGAACTGTCTGGAGTTTACGAAGTGATGAGGAGCTGATGCCTGCAAGAAGAGAATTGCAATAATCTCGATGGCTAGAAATGAAAGCATGAATCAGACTTTCAGCAGCTGACTGGGAGACGGTCGGGTTTTTACTATATTATTAATTAAGAGTACAAGTATTTAATTTCATTAGTACAAACCAAAATAATTCTTAAGTACGGTAATGAATTACTTAAATATTTTCCACCCAGGAAAATAAACGCAGGTACTTTGTAACACCAACTTCTTCTTGTGTGTCTCTACCTATTTACGACTGTACAATGTCTCTTATGCAGTAGCCTCTCCTCGTCTCTTTCAGGTTCTCTGCGGCTCTGTCAGAAGCAGCTCAGGTAGACCGGCTGATAGATGAGGAGAAGGGAGGAGAGGAGGCACTGGCAGATCGACTTCCTCTGCTGGGCGTGCCCTTATCTGTCAAAGAATCTTTCTTCTTACAGGGTAAACACAACACCACCCACAAAGCAAAGGCTTTCTTCAGCATCAAAGCCACACTCAAGACTGTCAACAGATTCCACTGAAGTTAGTTTAATTTAGGGGGTATTAACTGTTATACTGTAGTGTATATCAACAGTGAGATTAATCTGATTATCAAGCATGGCCGTCTTCCATGAAGAACATCATATTTATTACATGAAACATGAAAAACATCTCACTCTAGCCAAAATGAAAAAGTATAAGTGCCTGCTCACACATGTGGGCTCCAACCCTGGTCCTGGGGAGCTGACTTCCTGCAGAGCTTTCTTCCAACCACAATTTGCTACACCTGCTCCAGCTAATCAACCTTTTCCCCATGTCCCTGATTGGCTGGATGAGATGTATCAGCGGCAAGTAAGGGGTGGGGCAGTTTATTGGATACAGGTTGGAATTAAACTCTGCAGATAGCTTTCCAGGACCAGGGTTGAAGACACTGTTCTAGAGTGAACATTTCTTGGTTTGAAAACTGAGACATCTTTTGAAAAACTAAAAGCACTTTGAGGCCGATACTTCAGGGCAGCCTGCTAGAAATGTTTTTCCCCCAGTAGCTGGCTAATGCAAAAGGAAGCCATAGAGTTATCTGCTAGGAAGCCGAATATGACGTCTGTATTAGCTTCTACATCCAATAATTTCTTTTTTCCCTGTGGAGTGGGGAGTTAGGGGAGCATGGGGGCGGGTGGCGATTTCCAGTGGTTCTTTTGACACATTTGTGTAATGCCTGCTTGGTACTGTAGTGAGAAACTAACTAACACCAATAGACAAAAACATAAAAAAGGACATTAAATCTTGAATTCTTTCAAGCCGATGAGGTTAAGTGATATAAATAACTTTAAGTGCAATCTATCTATCTATCTATCTATCTATCTATCTATCTATCTATCTATCTATCGTTGTATGCAAAAGTATGGGTGTACCTGGTTAAATGACGTTTTGCTGATTTTCTAAGTGAAAGTAAGTTAACACATCCTTCTCAGAGAACACACTTCTGCACATTTTAATACACAATTACTGTTCATTTGCTGAAATTCACATATATATAAATCTTGGTTGGCTGCACCAGTAACTGTACCTTTTTCCTTCTCGTCTGTCCTCTCCTGCAGGCATGCCCTGCTCTGCAGGGTTGGTCTCTCGAGCTGGAGTGCTGGCCAGTGGAGACGCCCCTGCTGTGGCTCTGCTAAAAAGGGCTGGAGCCATTCCTATAGGAGTGACCAACATCCCCGAGCTCTGCATGTGGGTGGAGTCCAGCAACTATCTGTATGGCATCACCAACAACCCTTATGACACACAGAGGATGTGTGGAGGAAGCTCAGGTAGGTAGTCTGGGTGGGGCGTACATCTCTGACATATCGGCAGTTTAGTTCAATTATGACAAGTATGGCTGTTCACCATGACACAGAGTCAGTCATTTGGAGGACGATTAAGAATTAGTTTAAAAATACACAGACTATGCTATTTCTGTTTACAGAGTAGTGGAACATAGATAACACAAAATGATGATTTATTTATTTATTTGTTTGTTAATTTGTTTGAAAATAGAGTATTTTATTCTGGACAAAAAATTAACACAGACTTTTAAAACGATTATTAAAATGTAATTATTTTATTGAAACATTATAAAACAAACTGTTGAATTGCCACCTTCAGTGTGATGTATCAGAATGCATTTATGCATTTTATACTCCTAATAAACATATTGTAATAATTTTAAGTCTTACCACTGAGGTGATGAATATGGAGACATTCAAGTAATGTTTTAAGGCTGATTTCTCCAGCCTGTTCTACTCTGTAGGTGGAGAGGGCAGTATTCTGGGCAGTGGAGGGTCAGTGATCGGTATTGGCTCAGATATCGGGGGCAGCATCCGTATGCCCTCCTTCTTCAATGGCATATTCGGACACAAGGGAACAACAGGTACATTCTAACTTTGTGATACATATAAAGAATATTTTAAAATAATAGTTTGCCTGTTAGGTGTGTGAACCATGTGACACTTGACTTTTATCTACAGTACCAGTCAAAAGTTTGGCATGTTCACAGAGCATAGTGAAGACCTAAACGTTTATGAAATCACATATGAAATTACTACAAGGAGGACAAACATTTCACTAATTAACATAGTAATTTTGATTTAATGATTGAGGCTCAACTCAAAATTTCACATAAGCTCTTTATGAAAATGCATTTGTTTTTTTTTTTAATATTAAATATTTAATTTTAAAAAAATTAAAGTCATACATGCATCATTCCAACATTGTGGTAGCAAATGGTGTCCCACAACTTGGAGGCCATGAAAATGAACTCAAAATGAGAAGAAGCCACAGATCATGTCTGCATATTCTTTGTTGTGTTCAAATAACAAAAAACTATGTAAATTCTTCTTTTCGACTTTTATTTTAGTGATTTTCAGTATTGTTGTGCATGAAAAACAGCACGTGACAGCTGTGACTTTACAAATGCTCTTGTATTATTTTTATGAGAGACAACAATTTTGATGCTTGCTTTTCAGGTTAAATTGTAAAAATGTATCAAAATTATTATTTGCCGTATGTTAAAATTATTTAAAATGCATGAACATAATTTTATTTTGATTAAAAAATCTGTCCAAGATTTTTGTCAATGGTGTTACATAAACATAAAATGTTATTTAAAAAACAGGAAGGCCTTTTTGACTTACGTCCAGACTAACTCTAAGTCCACAGTTAGTGAAGTTTCTTTTGATATTTCTAATACATTTGGCTAAATATGGACATCTTCATCTCATGAAATATTAAGTGATTTTGAAATCAAAACAAATATCAACATGAATGCAATACTTGTAATTTTCGACATACAATGTGACACTGAAACTATAGTGACAGTGGAGTACATTTTAGAAAAACTTTACTGATGCTGTTCAATTACATATTAACATTCAATTACATATCAACATCCGTTTGCCACTGTAATGGTTCTTTTATAGACAAATTCCAGGCATTTAAGAATATGCCTTAAGATTATGGAAAGCACACATTTAATCAGACTTTTTGACTGAAACTGCTTATTTAAGAACAGCTGCTGTGTTGCTGGAGCTGCTACTGTGTATGTATAATTTGTGTATTCAGATGAAAGGCAGAAAGTGGGAGAAGTTAGCATTCTTGCTATGCTTCATAAATTTCTCTCTATGACTCCTGATGTGAAATCCTGCTCTTATTCGTAGGGATCGTCTCTAATGATGGTCAGTACCCTCCTAGCTCTGGGCTCCATGAGGAATTTTTGAGTACAGGCCCAATGTGTCGCTATGCTGAAGACCTGCTGCCTATGTTGAGGATAATGGCCGGAGCCAATGCAGACAAGTAAATGTACTCAGACATCCGTATTTACACTCACAGTCAGAACTGCGGAAAGCTGCACACCATCTGCTGTCGTTTCGTTCACAGGCTTTCACTGTCGTCAGAGGTGGACCTGAAAAAGCTGCGTTTCTTCACAGTAGTAGACGATGGTGGATCCCCTCTCACCTCACCTGTGGACAAACAGCTTGTTGAAGCACAAAGAAAGGTGAGGAAAACATCAAATCTATATTCCTAATTCTATAGTCCTGACGTACATTTCAATTTCCATTTCAGCTAACTCTGCTTGTTGTGAAGCACATCTAGATTTATCATTTATTATTCAGTACCTATGAATATTGAAGGTACTATGAAACTCATTTGTATGGGCCCATAGAGTTTAAACAGGAATTACACCAATTTAAAACTAAAAATCTACATAATTTAGTATTGATAGTGGTTAGATGTGAAATGGTGGATTGTAAAAAAACACAGAGCCATTGTACATCTCTTTACAGTGGTGGTGATAGGAACCAGACCTCCAAAGTACTTAATGCCTCTCAAAGCTCCCTCACAGAAAGTTATTACATGAAATGGTTCCAAATACACTGCATGATGACGGAGATATTGTTTTATAAGAGTTTTTTGTGATAATGTTTGGTACATGCAGGCTGTTGTAAGGAAAAATAATACCCAATAATGCTTTTCTCAGGTTTACCACTGTTTTCAGTCATAAACATTTTATATGAAACTCACATGTAGTTCTTATGGTCAATGATTCATGATGTGATATTAAATAAAATGGCTGTATTAGTGTTGTAGACATCACAAACCCTGGTCCATATCGGCACCTCCAAAAAGAAATGTGACTCATTAACGTTCTCTACCTCTCTGAATTACTTTATTTACATCTTAATGATTAAATTATGCAACCAAAAAAAAAAAGAAAAATAGATGGAATTTGCACCATTAAACAAATACCAAAGGAAGTGCTTTGCTGTTATTGATGTTTACAGGTGGCTCAGCAACTAGAGGCAGATCTGGGAGTGAAAGTGAAGGAGATCAGCTTCCCTCAACTAAAATACTCCTACCAGATCTGGGACACGTTCTTGGCTCTGCCCGATAAAGACGGCAAGGTCTGTCTCTAAATGTTGTGGACCAGGAGATGCACTTATGGATTTGTTAGTATAGGCTTAGCTTCCAAAAGCATATTAGTTGAGCGATCATATAAACTACTAATTAGGGGGGGGGTCCAGAGTGATATCTGTCTTACCATTACTCACTGTTTGTGTGTTCCAGCCACCGCAGCCTTTCGTGGAGATGTTGGCAGATGGAGGTCCAGCTGTGTGGCCGGTTTGGGAGCTCATCAAGTGGCTGTTTGGGAAATCTGACCACACAATGGCTGCCATTGGTAATACATACAAAATCAAAATAAACAAAATGAAATATAGACCCAAATGTTAAAATGCAGCCACTGCCAACCCACACATTTACGCACAAGCTAAAGGCCAGGCTGAGTCAGCTCTATATACAGATTATATACAGTCAGCTTCATAGTTACTGCCATTATTGACAGAAAAAGTCATTATTGACAGAAAAATATCTTTCTGGTTAATTAGCTCACTGAAAATGAGGAAAAAATCTAACATTTAATTGAAGCAAATTTAGTTCAGGAAACCTCATAAACCATGAGTCACAATTAATGGTACCTCTGCATTTAGTACTCTGTGTAACCTACATTTGCCAACATAACAGCAATCTCTGCTCCTATTATGCTTGATGAGATTGGAGAACTCGGATCATGGCCTCCTCAATACAGAATTTCTTCAGATCCTCTCTTTTAAACTCTTCTCTTCAGCTCTTCCACACCCTAGTTATTCACACAAACACACACACACACATTATCTAAGCTGCTTATCCTTCCGGGTCCTTCTGGGGGTGCTGGAGCATATCCCAGTGCTCATTGGGCAGAAGGCAGGAAAGACCCTGGACAGGTCGCCAGTCCATCGCAGGGCACCTACTTATTCAGTAAAGCTGTTTTCAATGTGGTTTAGGTTAGGAAACTGGGATGGCCGTGTCAAAAGCTTGATTATGTGGTCACATTTTTGGATCAGTCTTTTGGCTGTATAGATAACCATCTTCTTCCATTTGTTCTGGTTTAGGTTTGGCTTTTCTGGACAGCTTTCACAGCACCACACTGCCACAGTTCATCCTCCAGCAGAAAGAGGCACTGCAGCGCAGCATGGAAGAGGTGCTAGGGACTGATGGAGTGCTGCTGTACCCCCCTCACCCAGTCCTGGCCCAAAAACACCACCATCCATTATTCACACCTTTCAATGCCGCTTACACAGGTCTGTTTCTTTAGTTTTGCCCTTGGGTGACAAAACTAATGTAGCCAACAAGTAATGGAAGTGTATAGGCACCTGCTAGCATTTTGTAAACTGCATGTCTAAAGCATCATGCATCAAACCATATTGAAGCTCAAACAGACTTGCTTATGTGATTTTTGACCCTGTATGACATACTGTTGTCTATAAAAATGGATACAAGTATGTAGCATAGCTAAAACGGTAGTATCAGCTATCTTGAAGCCCGAACCATGTCTGTTCAGTTTTTATAGATAACAGTAGCTAGTAGACGTATTGCATTATAATAAAGTTTGATACAAACAAAAAAGTAGCCTGCAGTCCCTAACTCATCCGTATTATCAATGCCTTTACAGGGATCTTCAATATACTGGGCCTGCCCGTTACCCAGTGTCCTCTAGGGCTGAGCGAGGAGGGGTTGCCGCTGGGCGTTCAGGTGGTGGCCGGGAAGCTGCAGGACCATCTGACCCTGGCGGTGGCTCTGTACCTGCAGAAAGCCTTTGGTGGCTGGAGAGATCCAGGAGCTACCTGAGATACTAGAACAGCAGAGCTTTATTACTCCACCTTCAATTACAGTGGTGCTTATTAGAGGTTTACCACATCAGTTTGAGTCTGAGAGATGAGATTGTTTATAGAGGTGTACTGTAAATAAACATTATACAGTAAAATGGACTTGAATGTGATGTTGCTTTCAAACTAACACTACAAATTAGAAAGAAAACATAGAAGTCAAGTTAATGGCACCCCTATGATCAATGAAACTAGAACAAGTTTTTTGAGAATCGCTGCTTTTCAATGCTCATTTCACTGCTTTAGACAGTAGCAGTAAGAGTTAAACAAGTTCATGTTCTAATGAATTTTAAGGTTAAGTTAAAGTTTTCTATTAAACACTAATCTAAAATGTAAAAAAAACACTAAATCTGAAAAGGGAGTGTAATAAGGCCCATCATTCATTAGTCTGGCTTAAATATTGTTATTATTACTACTATTACTACATTTTACAGACTAAGCCTGCATTCTGAAATCTGGACACTGATTATTTCAAGTATTACTCTAAAACATTTCTTTATTAATAAGAAATTATGCTGGACATACAACAGATCAGATATAATTCATCAATGGAAATATGTTCATTGCAAGCTTCACTCTTGTTCACGCCTGCTACACTGTTCACAACAAAACAGTTAATGAATGCTCAACATCCTTAAAAGGTCATTAATGCCATCCATCTCCAAACTAAACAAATTACCGTGCTGAAATTGGTCAGAGAGGGAGAGAAGCAGAAAAACAGTTAGTCTCGTAGAGACCACTCCTTCTCCCCCATTGAAATACAGCAGAGGAACTAAATCATTTTTAAACTCAAACACAGCTGTCATTACTCATTTAAAAACAACACAAAGGAAATCATCAGTTAATATTTCTTGATGAATAGGCAACAGTAAGCAATCTGGATGATAATTTGGGGTGACCACAGGTCATTATAAAGCTACTATTATACCCTTACTGCTACTGTTAGCAGACTGAATATTCTGGTTCATCACTGAAAGAGAGGAAACCCACACCAGCAGGATCTCACCAGTGTATGTGTTCAAAGTGGCAAACTGTATGCTTGTGAAGTAAAAGCAAAAGTTTGCATTTAAAGGTGAAGTGGAATTTTTTTGTTCAACTAAGTTTAGGTCAGTAACCTCCAATCTTCCTCTTGGAGCTACCTTCCTGCAGAGTTAAGTTCCAGCCTGAATCCAATAAGTGCCCCACCACTTACTTAACTGCAATACATCTGATCCAGCCAATCAGGGACTTTGGAGGAGGCTGATTAGCTGTAAGAAGTGTGACAAACTGTGGTTGGAACTAGGCTCTGCAGGAATTTAGCTTTTCAGGAGGAGGGTGATAATCATACCCAGTGAAAATCAAAGTTAAGCCTCAAGTTAAAATATTTACTGATGGATTTATTCTAAAAATATGTGACTTGAAGGTCTTACAACAGGAAGCCTGAATGCTGGTCCTGGAGATCTACCACCCTGGTGATATCAGAGCCAACACACTTGGCTCTAATGTCCAGATGCCTTGAAGGCCTTCTTCATCAGGTATGTTGGGTTGGTCAGAGTAGGAACTGTTCAGGGTGGTAGATCTCCAGGACCAGGATTGGACACCCCTGTCTTGCAAACCTGAAATGTCTTGTGTAAGCAGAGCTGCCAAATGTAGTAGTAAACCCAGAGAGGGAAAGTAAATGTACGCCACTGTTAGCTCAGTTCTAACATAACACTGACATTCCCAAAGAGGCTTCTGGAAATAGCATTACTGTAACATATGCGTGGGAAAAAATTATGTATATATACATAAAATCCTAAACTCCACAATGTTCATTAGTAGATTACTTGATTACCAGTATAATCGATAATGGCAGCCTTACACTCAGTGTGTGAGCAGCTGTTGAAATCAGCAAAACCTGTTCGGGTCTGGACATGTAGCGCTTTATTTCTTCCCTTCTTCTGTGAAGCTGAAAAACAAACACATCCTCCAGAACTGTTCAAAAAATGTAACCAGCAAAGGCAGCAAAGAGCCTGTCTTCACTTGTGTTTTTTTTTCTTCCTTTTTTTGCAAATGTAATTATTTTCTTACATTCTCACACTGAAACAGATGGACATTTTTCCTGTGTTTGGACGCTGTTTATGCCTTTGACAGCTGTCAATTAAAGAAGGTCAAAGCATTCCAGAACAAGATTCCCACCTCTGTTCCATTTTCACCCACATTCTGGAATTTCTGGGGGGATTTTTTTTTTCAAAGGGCCATAAAAATGAAGAAACATTACAAAGCACAAAACAAAAAAGAAAAAACATAATAAAGAAAAAAGGTCCCTGGCTTTTGGCAATGCAGGAACAGAGACAGGAAGTGAGGTCAGCCAAAACAGGAAGTCCATCTCACTCCTGTTAAACCCACCCCATCAAAAGTTACCCTAGTGCCAGTCATTCACAATTTGGCCCACATCCTGTCTGAATGACCCAGAACATGTACTTGACTTGCCTGTCAGTGTTTTTTTGTGTGCGTTTGTGTATTTTGTTTGAAACCAGTCTTCTTCAGGAGAAAATGTGATGTGTGTGAATGTTTGTATATATGTATGTAAATATGCATGTGTAAGTGTGTGTGAGTACAAAGCCAGCCCTCCTTCACGAGGCATTCGTGATGGGTTTGTATTTTTTGAGCCGTGTCCACTGGCCCGTGGAATAGTTCATCTCAAACACAGTGTCCACCAGCATGGTGGTACTGCCTGTACCGTCTGCTTTTGGAAGAACCTCTGTGTGCTCACTCAGCTTGATCTGGATGATGTCACCCTGCTCTGGACATGGGTTCTCTAAGGGGGGAAGACCACCACAAATAAAACAAGAACAAACATTAAAGAAAGGCCAGACACTAGTCCTAGATGAACATTTATTTTACAGTGGGGATCTGTTACAATGGCTTAATCTGTGCCTGGAAAACTGACTCCGTACACCTGAGTGGCAGCACCACTCAGATGACCAAGGAAAGCATAGTGAAAGCTGAACCATGTTCAATTTAATCTTTTAAACATTGTTTTTTCCTAGAGGTCATGCTGCTGCAGACAAATGGTGGTCATACCAGGTACTAATGTGGGAATTCTGTTTCACAACCCACCCATTTGCAGATTTTCAGTGAAAAGTGTTCAATTTATAATTTTGTTTGGTATATTTGCTTTAAATTTTCACAAATAATTTAAGATGTTATAGTACTGTAGGTGAAAATGTGTGTATTAGAATGTTTTAAAGGCTCTGCATGACCTGCAACTAAGTTTCTGAGTACACTAAGAGGGAAAAACAGACTGAAGACGTTAACTAGTTTCGTATGTTTCGCCACAATACCTCTTGATCCTGCCATGAAGCCCAAGATAAGGGCTTTCTCTGGTCGAGTGACTTTGTTCGCAGTCTTGAACATTTCCTGTGCGGCATACATCTGTTCTCTCTGTAGTGATAGAAAAAAGAACGGATGTTATGGACATTACATTACTTGAGAATTGTAAGTTCCTAACCCCCTTAAGCAAGCGGCTATTTCTGCAATGGGCTATTTCTGGAAGAGGTTGAAATATAAAGATTTCAAAATGTCCTATTTAACATTTTCATTTGAATACAACCACGTACAGCGTCCAAATCTCTGTCTAAATAAAATGTCAAAGCTAATAATGCATGAAATGGCAAAAGGAAATGAAAAACGATTTTGAGTTCTCACTTTGAGAATATATAATTTCCATACTTGAATCTTGAATTCAAATGGAGACATTACATAATTATGCAGAAAAACCTGGCAGAAGAGACAGAATTTCGTTAGGGAGTTAAAGGCCAGGGCAGTTTGTAACCAACCGTAAGCGACAGGTTCTTTTTGGGCTGCGGTTGCTGGGGGGCTGGTGTGGGTGCTGGCTGAGCTGTGGTGGTGGGCGGCGGTGTGGCCGTGTCTGCTTGTGTTGCTGTGGCAGCAGGAGCGGGAGCATTGTTGAGAGGCGTGCTGGTGGGCGTGGTGGGAGAGGTAGGGGCTGTGGGGCTGGCAGTGCTGGCGTTGTACATGGGCGGTCTCTGTTTGAATTGGCCTGGCAGTGTGGCGGCAGCAGCGCCGGTTGCTGTGGACTCCTCGGGCTGCCGGTTTGTAGTGTCACGTCCCGAACCGCCGGCGTTGGCTAAAGAATGGAAGAAACAGAGAACATGATAGACATTTAATTATTCTGAATTAGTAGTAAAGATATTTTGTTGGATAACAGTTATGTCGTCTCTTTGAAAATGACAATTGACAAAACTAGACAAAAACTAAAGAAACTCGCTTTTGGACTCACACAGCTCTAAACTGTCCATAGGCCAAAAGAAACAATGCTATAAATTCCAATTTACAATTTACACCAATCATAACTGTTCTGTTTATATAACAGTTTTTCATCAATTTAAAAAAAAATATAAAAATCTCTTAAGTTATTCCCTACAAAAACAGTAGGAAAAAAAGTAATACAATCTGCTCCATCTGTTACTCACTAGCCCCACAGGATTGAGCACATTATGCACTTGCATTAGTTGTCAAATACATCAAATGTATCTGCATAACCAGAATGCACAGTTTAAACAGCTGTAACAGATTTCAACCCTGACTAATAATAATACCAATCTATATAATACTATTATTATTCATTTATAAATCATTTATCGTAACAAGAAATTATTTATATAAATAATATTCATATAAATAACTTCTATTATGAAAAGCTCTGTAAAATGTAAACAGATTTAAGTGCCAAGTCTCACCCGGCTGCGTCTCTGAGCTGGGAATGTATGAGGATGAGGGCACCATGCTGGGTGTGGCTGGGAGGTAGCTGGTTGATGGTAGGGCACTCTCGCTGTTTAAAGCCCCTAATTTCTGTTAAAGAAATGTAAATATTAGATTTAAAAACATTCATATCTGCTTTAGTACAAAAGCTCTAGGAGAAATGAAAATCCATGTCTTTGAATCAAGGTATGTGTTAATGACAGTTTGTGTGTGGAGTTACCAGATGGGTAGGATGCATCATCTGAATGAATTAGCTAAAGAAAAGAAAGACGCCAAATATTTTTTCCTATAATCATGTAACTAATTTTCACTTTACAGTTTCCTCTTAGATTTGATTGGTTAAGAACCAGATCTTTCTTACTCACTCAGCTAAATCACAACATGACCTGTCAAGGAACAGACTAAGAATAACTGAATAAATCAATAAAAAGGGATTAAACTGTTTGGAGTCTGACTGTTTTTATACTGTGAAGCCAGAGTTAAACCCAAAGCTAACTCACTAAGTGAAAAATCCTACCAAAACTTTGTGGTAGAGCCCTGAAGACTGATGGCAAACACACATAAATCAAGAACAAAAGAAAAACACTCTCAACAATATTTACAATTTACTGTCTACAGTAATGTTCAGTAATACATAAAAATGTATTTTTATTTCCATTTATACCTGTGTAGATACCAAGCCGGCAGCATAATCTGGTGTAGCGTTCTCCACCACTGCCTCCTCTTTGGCCGCTTTCTCTCCTGCTTCTGTGTCTGAAAAAAAGGGGCATTTCAGACATTATAAATCACACTCAACCTATTAATAAAGCCACTGTGAAATGATGTTAGGACTCTAAAGGCCTGTAACTGTAATTACCCAATGTCTTTCTTCTCCTCTTGGCTTCTCTGCCTGCTCCAACCATGTCCAGCTCTGAGATATCTAATAACTAGACAAGAAAGTGAAACAATACAGCTTACAATAACACAGCAAGGGGCTGAATTTTAATCCTTTCTAAGTCTTTTTCAGATGTGTTTGCTCAAGTCCACCCCCCCCCCCAAACACACCCAGCAAGTCTGACATTTGTCTATTTGTGAATGTCAAATACAAAGTCAACAAAATGTGTGAGGAACCAAATGTGTCAGCCCTCCCTGGGTAAACACTAGGCCTGTGGTGCAATGTTGCTTTGATGGATCACCTTCACTCCTCTCTCTTTGCGCAGGGGCGTGCGTGCCGGGGCGATGGGCGCTCTGTTGCTGGGGGGGCTGAACATGCTGGGGGTTGTGGGGCTGCGGAATGGAGCCTTGGGGATCCCCTTTAGTGGTGCTGGGGCAGAACACAGGAATTATTACAGCTTGTCCTGTGTGGGTGTACACAGGGGGATGTACACTGTGTCAAACGTTTGGGGACCCACTGACTTCTTTACAAATTTTTAAATGATTGACTTTACACTTACACTTTTTAGATAAGCAAGAAAAACACCTGCAAATGTTTTACAGTTATTCACTGATACTGTGGATATATTTACTTTCATGTTCATTAAAGTGTTTTCCTTGGTATGAAGAGCAGGTTTTGCCTGAATAGCAATTAAGACAGATTTCTTTTTCAAAAGACTGTTTAAAGCACACAAACACTTTTGTCCCCAAATGTGGTTCAAGTACCTGGAGTGTTTGAATACTGATATTTCAAGCAGGAGATAAAATGTGTGGGCACCGTCTTTACTACCAAGCTAACAGGGTCACAAACATCACTAGCATTTACAAGTGTGAATGTTTCACTCAAGATAAACTTGGTTATTGTTTAATAATTTGAATTATTTCAAACAAACAAAACAAGCCCATTTGTATTAAAAGCTAGAGTATGTAAATGAAAGGCATGAAAATGTGTATTCAAACTAGGGGTGTGAGGGATGCCAGTTCTCTCATTTTGCCGTACTGTGGATAAGCTCAAAAACAGTAAACCACAAACAGTGCCACCCTCGAAAAAACGAAACATGATCATGAACAGCTTAAATAACTCAAAAGGGTGTTTCGGTTTTAAAACTGCATCACTGAGTGTAGCTCAGTCGTTACCTAGTTAATCAGTAAAGCGTTAATATGGTTACGTGCACAAAGTGAGTGTATTGTTGGGTGCACGCCATGTGCATGAATAACCACAAAGACATTCCCTTCTCCCGTGTCAGCATCTGTATAAGAGTTTATAACCGCACTTGTTTTTTGTTTTATTGCAACAGATTTAACATAACTGTTGAGCATGTGAAGAACAAATTAGCTCCTAAAATCTATTCAACATGCAAGAAGTAAACTTAATGTGATAACTTAGCAAGTCTGGAATAACGAGCTATCTTCATTAGATATACATTAGAAACACACAGTGAAATATTATTTTATACACTAACTACAAGGTGCAAAATGGAATATGAGTGAAAAGGTGAAAAACATGAGAGGAGGCTTTAGGAATGACTAAAACTGGTTTCACACAAGGGAACTGAAGAAGCTACTGGAGTTCATAGTTCTACAAAATAAAGGACACTTTTTTAGTTGCAAACACTCAGTATTTGTTTGCTTTTTTTTAAATTAAGAGTGGACCTTGTATTTTTTATCTTTGTAGGCCTCTTTATTAAAAATTGCTATAAAAATAATAATAATAATAATAATAATAATAATTAACAGCAACAATAATAATAAATATAGCCGCAAGCGGCAATAAGCGGGTTCAAGAATGCAACAGCAGTACTGCAGGATTAGCCCATCAGGCCTAAAAAGGCCTCAAGCTGTGGGTCTTATTTATAGGCAGAGTGAATCGAACTGAAAGGAAGTCAGTTCATCAAAAGGCCTTCAGTTGCCATAAACAACAAGCAGTGGTCTTTAAACACATTATAGGTTTATATTCATATGTACTGATCTACACTGGTTTGTAGAACATCCAAGAGGTTGTCAACATAAATGTCAAAACTACATGACTAATGGCCGCATTTCTCACACAGTAGCACTTGCAAAGTGTATTGGTTGTATATTTAAGCCATTGATTTGATGTAGGCCATAATGAGGCCCAATGCACTCATAAGAGGCCATACTGGTGTGAGGAGCTCAGTGAAAGTGGGTCAGAATTAGTGAAAAGGCCACAATATGGTTTCACTCTTGATCAGGGACCAAGTTTTCACCAAGTTTTGTCAGAATGACCTTTTGACCTTTGTATAATAAGCCTTTGTATAGTGAAATCTTTGAATGAATAAGCCAAAATAAAAGACAAGCAGTGCAATTTTTAACATAACATGTAATTAGAAAGTTGTTCATAAAAGTGAACTGAGTCACATGGCACTATTTGTTTATCTGTCATAATAACATTGTAATAGCATTTTAGTTGATTTTTAAGTTTTTTTGAGTAAAGGTCAATCTGGACCAAAATTGGCCAAGACCATTAGAGTCCTAATATGTAAAATTATTGCAAGTTTGGAGATGATCTGACCAATGACTGTTGAGTTATAGCAAATCAAGCTAGCAATGCCATGTTTGCAGTAGTTAATTGATTGATTCTCAATACACTCAGTGGAACAGTCAAAATGTTTTCTGATAATTATTGAGGATCAGTGTCTTCTGAATCTTAAGATACTAATTGGATGATTATTGGCCAAAAATCCAGAGACTAGTTTGCAAGAATAGGTTTTTCACGTTATGCAAATTAGCTCAAAAACTAAGGGGGTGGGACTGGGGGTGCACTTGCTCAGCAAGTCCCAAGGAATCAGCAGAAAAAAGAATTTTGTCTCTATCTCACTCTGATCAAAAGTTACAGGCAAAAATATGAGTAAAGTTGAAAAAGATGAAAAGTTGAAACAGAGGACTAAAGTAAAGTATGAGTTCAGTGAAAGTGGGTCAGAATTAGTCCTCAAGGCCTCAATATGGTATGATTCTTGATCAGGGACCATATCCTAAGATGTTTACAAAGTTTTGGTCAGACTGACCTTTTGACCTTTGTATAAAAAGCCTTTGTATAATGTAGTCTTTGAATGAATAAGGCAAAATACCAGACAAACAGTACAATTTCTGACATAACATGTAATTAGAAAGTTGTTCATGTGAGTGACCTGAGTCGTATGGCACCAACTGTTTATCTGTCGACCTTGTAATAACATTGTAATAGCATTTTAATTGATTTTTAAGTGTTTTTGAGTGCTAAAGCGCCCCCTAAAGGCAAATCTGGACCAAAACTGGCATACTCCATTAGAGTCTCGAATTGTATAAATACCTAAAGTTTGGAGATGATCTGACCAATGGCTGTTGAGTTATAGCAAATCAAGCCAGCAATGAAATGGCCGCAGCAATTAATTGATTATTGCATACCACAGTGAGTAAAAACTCAGCATGTTTTTGATCATTATTTACCTTCAGATGCCAAAGAGTGATGCTAGACCAATTTCGAAAAGTTTGGATCAAAATCCAGAGACTAGTTTCGAAAAGTATGGTTTTTGAACAGTTGACGATTACAAAAAAACTGTGTAGTTTTTTAACAAACATACTTTTGCAAAATTGTTTGGGATAACGTACCACAATGCATTCATATGGGTTTTGAGTCAAAACTGTAATAATTCAGTAATGACATGTAATAATAACTTTATTTTTATGAATAGCGCCCCCCAGTGGTCAAATCTTTTGAAACTTGATTATTTGTTAGGAGGTGGGTACATGTAGATATCATTCAAGTTTCATGATGATTGGTCAATGTTAAGCCTGTGAAAAGCCTGCTAAATGCTGATTGGCCGATGGCGACCACAAATTTCGATGTACCAAATTGTTCTTACAGGATCACTTATAGTATGGCCAGTAAATGCTGAATGCGAAGTTTTAGCTTGATCGGATGTACGCATGCTGAGAAACAGCCATGTAGCATTAACTCCACCCCCTAATTAGATATGCGCATAAAAATCGAGAGGTCACCTCAAAAACTTCTGCTGAATATGTTTGTCAAGTTTGAATTTTTTTGGCTAAAAGATTGTCAAGTTACAGAATTTTAAATTTATTCTGAATTATTTTGGATTTATCCAGAAGGGTTCATTTGCATATGGCAGCCATGTTGTTTGTAAAACTTAAAATGTTTTATAATTATTGACCTTCAGGCTCTTCTGAATTTTTTGACACCAAATAGATGAGGATCGGGTGAAAATTGTAGGACTAGTTCGCAAAAGTAGGTTTCGCATATTATGCAAATGAGCTCAAAATCTAAGAGGGCGGAGCTAAATGGTCCCAATTGCAAAGTTGTTTGTTTGGACCCATAGAACCAGGGAAAAAAATGTCTCTTGTCTGGGAAAAATCTAGTTTAGGAGTTATTAGGCAAAACTGATTTTTCTGCGCTATAGCGCCCCCTTGTGGCTGACTGGGCTGATTCCGTGTGCCTGAGTAGCGGGAGGGACTACTACCTATTGACCAAGTTTCATGTCTCTAGCACCTACGGTTTGGGCTGTGCGTTCCGTTTCATGCATGCTTGAACCCTAATTAACAGCAACATTAACAGCAGTACTAGTACTAACAATAGTAATACTTATTCCTGCAGTGTTGTTTAGTTATTGTTACCATAATAAATGTATTAACTTTTCTGGACACTGTGATATTAATATTGTTATCGTCCGAGTAGAAAATACGCTTATAGAAATTTTAGTTAATATCGCCCAACTCTAAACCAAACTCACTTGTGGTGTCGATCTTCTTGACTAGTCCTCTTCCTTTAGCATGGAAAGGCACTCCTGCAGTTTTTTTTAACTGCTGTGCAGTTTCTGTAGCTACAAAATAAATACAGTGACACAGCTGTTAACTCAGACAAACACTCTTACTCACCATAAACAACAGACACACACACGCACACACACATACTGAACGCTAACAACAAACGCAAAATTCTGCTTTGCAAAAACTCTAAACACATCAGCTGGGATGCAGCTGTCTCTGCTTCACTCACACAGATGATCACACAGACATACACTTACATTTCTGGAGGAGCTCAGCTCTGAGGGTGGCGCTCTTTGGTTTTCTCTTGAGCTGGAAGTGCTTGATGGGGGGTGTGAGGGGTCCCACCAGTGTGGTCAGAGCACTCTTATTCAGATACTGACACTCAAGAGGCAACATGGCAGACGCCTCACACTCACTCACTGAGGGGCGATAAATACACACAACACAGCACAAACACTAAGTCTACAGACTCTGGTCAGTTCAAACTTGGTATTAACATCCATCTGCAGTAATCTGACCATAAGTGGACTGCAGGACGTATGACTGTTTCTGGTGGCCACGTGATGGGGTTTCATGACTGGAGAAAGGGTACCCGCACATTTACTACATCTGTACTATGTAGTAATGTAAGGGTTGTTACAAAATTTTAGACTGCATCGACTTTTAATGTAAAAGGCAAGTCAAAGCAATAAAAAATGTGAGGATACAGCGTTTTAAACGTTTGTCTACAAGTAAAAGCATCGCTAAATATGTAAATGAAAGGTTTTTTTATAGGGATGCATGATTAAATCAGAAGCATATTGGAATCGGTAGATTTTTGCTTTAGATTTGACTGATATTTCAAACCAATACTTACTATAATCCAAAATAGCATAATACTTGAGTGACTGTAGAGCTGCTGTGCTAAATTGTCTGCATTTTTTTTTTATTTACTCTGCAAATAAATGCATTGTTTTAAATGTGACACTACTTTGTTTGGATGTGCTATCAGATGTCAGAAAAAAAATATCATGACATACTGTGTATGTGTACAAGTATCATGATATTACATTTTTGCCATATCCCCCAGCTCTATTGTAGACTCCCTTAAATAAAACATTTCCTTTTGGAGGAATAACTGCCATAAACGACAATATATAATACAATGCAATATCGCAATACTTAGCATATCACACATCATTAAGCATGGCTCAAGCACCATGACAAATCACGACTCTCATCCCAAACCCGCATTCATGTAATCAGGCAAAAATTTATTTTGGTCAAAACTACCCAGGCCAATCTTTAACCACATGACATGACTGATTCACCAATCCAGCTTTAATATAAGCCAGGGGTGCACAACTCCGGTCCTGGAGGGCCGGTGTCCAGCACAGTTTGGTAGTTTCTCTACTCAAACCCAATAAACCTGACAATTAACAGATGAGCTGAATCAGTTGTGTTTGAGCAGTTAGATCACCAAACTGTGCCGGACACCAGCCCTTCGGGATAGGAGTTGTGCACCTCTGACATAAACAAACTGCAAAGAGAGAGAGGGGGAAAAAAAAAATTGTTAAAAGAACATCTCTTGACCTTTGTACATCTCATGAGCCTGAGCTCTTGCTGACCTTTTTCTCGAAGCTCTCCCAGGATGTCCTGCACGTTGGGGTTCTGCTCCTCCAGGTCCAGATTGAGAGACCCCGTCTCAGGGAACGATTTCAGGATGTCTGCCACCATCAGCACCCATGGCTCTGAGTCTACAGTGGCTAACTGAATAATCTCCGACAGAGCTTCCTTCATCTGGGGGAAGAAAACATGATTTTAAAAAAAAAAAAAAAAAAACAACTGTAAAATGAAAGATGGTGGAAGAAAACCACAAAGAAGAAGAAGGTCTTGTTGGCTGCCTTATATTTGCATTATGACATTGATGACATCACAGGGAGAATATTCTGCCACACTAAACAGCAAGTGATCAACATCAATCATCACCAACCAATGTGTGCAACCAATACAAAAGCAAGTCTGAAATACACCCACTTATTCATCACTGAGAGGGAGCTGCTCAAAGAGAAGGCGCAACAAGCTATCAGGAGCCCAGACTCAAACAGGTTCCTACAGGCCACCTGCTCATAAAATTGCTTCCAATGACACAAAAACTGATGAACATAATCATTTCAGAAATCCAGTCTTTTTCTCCCTCGTGGATGTCGTCACACTCTACTGAACACATGCGCTACATCAGTAGGACATGCTGCCAAGCAGGGATGTCTGTATCGTAAACAGAGGGGCGTGTCCAATACATAGGCCACTGGTTTTTTTTGTTTTTTTTCCCTCTTAGATCCACTTGCTATCTTTCTGTGAGATTATGTACCAGCCACGAGTGCTTCTTCATGATGGTTCTCCAACCTCTCTTCTTCCCTTAGAATTAAACAGGCTGTTTTTGAACCTTTAAAATAGACATATGTAAATTATCCCTGTTCTGACAGGATTCCCTGTGTTGCGCCTCATCTAAAAAGCAGTCCAGACTAAAACACTCCCTCAACTTCAGCGTGACTGAGCGGAGCCGTAGGACTAATAGGAGAACATCTGTAAATGAGTTGTGTTTTGTGACCTCACAAAAACAACAAACGCAAAACAGAGCTTAGTTTCCATGTGTGGATTGTACGGACTGGAAAGTGAACGGTACGTTCTCAAACTTCAACAATGTTTACAGATTACACACAACTTCATTTCCAAAAAGAAAATCGAAAGGAGAACTCAGTTTTCCACGATATTGATCCATTAGGTTAAGTAACATTACTGTCAGTAGAGTCTGTAAGACGAGAAACTCGGCAATCTAGCGAGGTAAATCAACTGGTGTTTACATCCAAGTCATTTTACACAAAATAATGCTTAGAAAAGCTTACAAAAAGTAAATTACGGAAGACAAAACCGCTGTTGACAATCTTCTCAGGCAAAACTCCGCCCAAAAGCACACCTTGTTGACTATCCAGCTGTAACCAACCAATATTTACGCGCGGTTAACTCCTCCAGCACATTAAAAGAGCGGGTACGACCAGCATGCGCTAGCTTAGCCAGCTAGCTATCCACTCCTTCACTTTTAAACATTAATACCAAACAGGGCGCATTAAACTTTTTAACTGATCAGAAACGGGTTAGAAAATCACTTCCACTCGCGTAGAGAGCATTTGGTCCCGCTCTCTCGCCAGCTGGCTCCGCGGTTGTTAACGTAACGTTTCTTTAGCCAACTCGGCTAACCCAAACTTCAACGCTAGGGCTGTTTTACCATTCGCTTTACAGAAAACTGGCACAAAGCAGACAAAACTACAGCTCCCTGATGAATGTTTAGGTTTTCAGACAGCAGGGAAGGTGACTGTTGCTTATGGAAGAAAAGAAAGCCAGCTAGCCTTCGCTCAAACTCCAACATTAGCGCTGCTTTTGCACTCGCGCTCCTTGGTAACGCTGTGTTCAGGGCTAAATCTCAAACGGCACCCTCATCCCTACATAGTGCACCATGACACTCAGACTTTTAGACCAAAACAGCGCACTATTTGTCCAGTATGTGACTGTACACACGTGGCGGAATCCCAGATAGTTATTTGTTAGACATTACACGCACTGTTTGGGTGCATGAGCAAATATTTTAAGACCTACGTAAAACACTAAGTAGGGAGTAGGGAGATATTTGAGATTCAGCCCTAGCTACTAGGCTTTTCAGGGGCAGTAAAAGTGGGTGTTGAGTACGAAAGAGGAGAAAGGCACCTGGCCTCCGTTAGCTCAAACTTCATGTGAGTTTGAGCAAAGGCTAGGTGACTTTCTTTTCCTTCGTGCACACCAACAGCCACTTTTACTTCTCTTGCAAAAACCTAAACACTGCTTTGACACTGCTCTGGAGGCAAAAGGCAAGAAGCAAGCAAAGCTGCAGCCTCCTGTTGAATGTCTAGGTGCTGTAATAGCAATATAAAGCGTCTGTTCTAACGGGGCTCAAACTGGCTACACTATTCACCAGCGTCCCTTTTTAAATATTCCCGTTCCACCTTAAATAGTGCAGCAAGGCTCAAGTTGGCTACCCTATTCGCCAGCACCTTGTTCGAATATTCCCGTTCCACCTTAAATGGTGCAGCAGTTACATTCTGGCGCCTAATGCTGAGGCGCCAAAATGTAACTGCTGTACCATTTAAGGTAGAACGGGAAAATTCAAATAGGAAGCTGACCTGAACTTGGTTCTGTTGTTGGAGTAAATAACTGTAAAGTGCGCTGCTGTAAAGTCCATGTGTGTGTCTGGCTATGCGGAGTGGAGTCGAGCCGCAGCCCCACCTCGTCCACGGTCCTGCGCGGGAGGTGCAGCATGCCGAGCAGCAGCTTCAGCTTCACGGCGGGCGACAGCGTGGAGAAGCACAGCCGTATGTTGTCGATGACCGACACGGTGAGCAGAGAGCCGATGCTGGACGGCGTCCACAGCTCGTCCGTGGAGCCCAGTTTGTTATGAAGCCACAGGCCGGTGTCGCTGTCCCTCATCGACGCCATCTTGGAGAGAGACGAAGAATCGGTGCAGGCATTTTAGCGGGCCACCTAAAACCCGAACGTATACAAGCCGTGAGGACCCATGTGACCATGGCAGGCTTCATGCTTGTTTTATCGGCTGTGTCTCAAATAGCTCCTTACGCCCCACCTAGTGCATCACGTAGGTCTTAAAATAAAGCCCCCTGCGCCCCAACAGTGCATAATCTGTCTCTTTGACATTCGGCCACGTGCGCACAGTTCCCTACTGGACTTATAGTGCATTATTTTGGTGAAGAAGACAAAATTAAAACTTCTCGCGTAGTGCACTATGTAGGGAGTAGGGAGTCATTCGAGATTCAGCCCTAGTTTAATATTGAGAAGAGAAATGCTTTCTGCTGCTTTGCAATAGATTTGGAATGCCCCTTTATCTTCTTCTTATACTACTACTACTACTAATAATAATAATAATAACAATTATTATTATTATTATATTGCAGTTGATTATTATGATTCATTTTTTGCTTTTTTGTATTATCTTTTCATTAATTTATTTGTCTATGCCTGTATTTATTTATTTTAGTTTACTTTCTTCTCTCACCCATATACACACTTTTCAGCACACACTTCTAAGAAACGTGAAAACATTTTTAAATTTAGTTTTTATTTAAATTGAAGATGCTACCAATTTTATATTTTTTTCATTTTTACTTCATTTTTCCTTCATTTTATTTTATTACTATTTTTATTTTCTATCTGTATACTATGTGTGTTCCTTCTTTTATCTTTTTAAACTTCATTGTTAAGGCAGCTGCTTATGCATGACGTTTTCTATAAATTATTATGATGACAATGTGTTGTAGTGATGTGTGACTATATGTTGTAATTGTTTTTAATTATTGCACTGACCAGTTTTAAAAATAAATGTTTTACGGAAGTTGAAGACATTAAGTTCCTAAGATTATTGTAGCTCTCTCACACCAAGGACCTATCACAATGTAACAAACTAAATGACAACAAGTAATGTAATGTAAATAAAATTTACATTATAAGACTGTGTGATGTCATCTGATGTCATTAGGCATTATAAGACTGTGTGATGTCATCTGATGTCATTAGGCATTATAAGACTGTGTAATGTCATTTGTGACAGAGTGCTAGGTATTGTAGGCTAGTGTATGAGGTCATTCAGAACATTAGATGCTGTAAGACAGTTTATGATGTCATTTAGAACAGTGCACTGTTCTAAATGACCTCATACACTGTTCTATAATACCTAACACACTGTTACAAATGACCTCATACAGTGTTTTATAACGCTAAGACACTGTAACGTTAAGTCCTTTCCATAAAACTAAACACATTTCACTACAATACTTAACACACTGTACTGAAATACTAAACACACTGCCTCATTGTACCCAATCAAGGTCCCATGATATCTGAATCCACTCTGCCATTTTCAGTATCTTCAGCTGGGATCCACAGAAAGCAAAGCAGGCACAACAACTTTTTTAGACCAACTGATATTTAGGCATCATTTCTTCAGAGTCACAGCTAAAAGCACTACATTATTTTATTTACATTACATTACTTGTTGTCATTTAGTTTGGTTCTACCACTGTCCAAATATTTAAAGAAAGAAGACTTTCCAAGATTACTGTAGATCTCTCACAATGAAGACAGTTTTGTAAATTTGTAATGAAGAGATATAGATTACCTCCAGTAAATAAATTCGATTTTTTTTCATGTAGGATATTTTGCTTGAGAATATTTTTTTAAGCACATCATTAAGAAGCGCATGACGGACACTGACTTTGCTGACTGAATCTCTCCAATAATACTGTGTTCAGTTTAGTTTATGAGCCTGTACAAGTCTGCAATATAACAGTGTTATATTGTGTAAGTAATATGTCTGATTTACATATAATTTGCATAAGGCTATAACTGCTTTGACCTAATTTGTGTTAGTAGGGGAAGACACCTGTGGGTACTCTCACCCAACACCCCTCTCTTTCTCTCCCTCTACTCTTAGTTTTAGCCTACCTAAGCCTTGTCTTTGTTCAGCCTTTGTGTGTGGGGTTATGTGTGTTTGTGTGAATATGTTGATCTGTTGAGATTAAAATTGAATGCAGATTTAGACGTGTTTTTAATATTAAAAGTTAATTGGTTATAGTGGATTAATGCATGTAATGATTCTAATATGCTAGTCATGTGCATCTTAACAGGTTTCAAATGATTGGTAGAAAGCTGGAAAACAACGACATTTATTTGTATAGCGCTTTTTACAACTAGTGTTGTCTCAAAGCAGCTTTACAGAAAAGCAGTTTGTGGAAGGATCAAAAGAATAAAAAAGAAAAGAAAATAGAAAATAAAAGAAAATAAAAAAGGAGTCCATGTATAGACGTAAGGAACTGAATCTGGGTCCAAGCCCCCCATGAGCAAACCAGAGGCGACAGTGGCAAGGAAAAACTCCCTTGGAGTAAGAGGATGAAACCCAGGCTCAAGGGAGGAACCCATCCTCCTCTGGTCGACCCTCGGATGAAGAGAGAATGACATAGCTAATGAGATTTTATGACAAGATACAACAAAGAAGCTTAGTGCTTGAACATCCTTCAGAAATATTCTGATTAATCCAGGAGGCAGTAATGTAAAGTTAGAACCATGTCATAGGTTCTCTGTCAAAGTGAGAGATAAAGTTCATGATCAGTGCCAGATGCTGGTGGCTCCACTGTGGTAATTCTAGTCATGCAGGCTGACGAGCAGGAGAGCATCATCAGTTCAGGCAGGAGGGACAGGTGATCAGCCAACAGAGATGGAGCTCTGGTGGCTCCCAAAACTATATATCCTGTTAATATGTATTTAATGAGTGTTGTCTTCTCTTTTTACTGGGGTATATCGCATCACTGAAATTATGAATGGGTGTTCTTTATACATTTCTGTAATCTTAGTTATGCTGTGGTAAATTACCCAACAGTAAAATCCACATAGCGCTTCAGCTGTATACTATAGTTCATTTTTCTGTTGTTTTCTTTTCTTTTCTTTTTTGTGATGAGTGGCATCATGTAGCACATACCTTTCTCTTCTATACCCTCAAAGTGGCTCAAATGAGAAAAACTGTGCGGTCGAAATTAATTTTAAAGGGCTAATAACCCACGTGACCTGTATGTTCCAATCAGAGCAGAGAGCGTTCAAAGGGGGCTGAATAAAACATTTCTTGGGGGGCACTATTGTAGTGTGGTGTGCAGAGGACGAGCTGGATTATCTTACAAAACAGCAGTTCACAGATTCACTTGGTTTCGCTGGTTGTCATCTGATTCTACAGGTAAACAGCAGCCTGTTCAGTCTGTCCACAGGGAGCCTCGCACTGCTGCCTGTTTAACTGCCTCTCATCGTCTCTCGCTGTCCGCTTATGTTCTGTACGTTGATAGACAAGCCTGGAGACGGTTTGGAGAAGAAAGGGCTCCGCTATTCCGGCTCTGGGTTGCTAATGTGCAGCAAGTGAGCTCGGCTGTGTTTTCTGTTCTGTTCGCAGGTTTAGCTGCTGCTCCCTGTGTGAGCCTGTAGGCCGCTGAGCTGCTTCACTATGAGGTCCATCAGCGCCGCGGTGATGCTGCTGCCCCTGCTAACGGTCCAGCTGCTCTGTTTCAGACAGATTACAGCCGACCAGGAGTCTGGGACGGTCATTCCTGCAGAGAGTAAGACATTTACAGTATTACCTCTTTGTGACTACTGCTTTATGTTGTTTATATTCACATTGTAAGTCATATTCACACAAAAGACTGAACCTCGAAACAAATAGGCTAGGCTAATTGTCTCTAAACATGCTGAACAGTAACGTTACTGGTGACAGCCAAGTTAGCCGAGGTGTGCTAGTCCATGCTAATATGTCTCTATATTTTTATAAGCACTTACAGCAATGTAATGTAATCAGTGTATTATAAAACCAGTTATAATGGATAAAATGATTTAATATGCA